CTATACTATACTATACTATACTATACTATACTATACTATACTATACTTGTTTCAGCTCAGAAATCTGCCATATTTCTTAAATGCAACAAGAAAGTCCTGTTGCCTGAGTTCTTTATTTTTAAATATGAGGTCACTGCAAAACAAATAAATCAACCTATTATACTTTATTTGTTTGTTATAAACATATGCATACAGGTAGATAAGATGAAAAAAGCTTTCTAATGGAAGTATCACAGTGTGTTTTTTTAAATGAAAATATTGAAATAAGTTGAATGAACAAAGCACAATTTACTCTGTTGTGTGTTTTTACCAAACTGTTGTTAGATCTTTCCTTGTCTAATTTGAATAACTTCAGTCCAAAAATGTTATCATTTTTTATCTTTAAAAGCTGTTTTAGTTATTTTATGTTTCTTCTCAGGCTGGTAGCTATTCTGATGCTCTTCAGTGGTACAACTACTCTTTGAATTTCTTCAAGTTGGGTCAAATGGAGCCTAACTTGGCCAAACTGCAGAGAAACAGAGCATCTTGCTTTCTGCAACTTCAGCAGCTGGAAAAGGTAAAACAGTCCGAGCTACTGTAGTTAAACTTAGGAAGTGCAGTGGCATGTGACTAATGTTTGCACACATTTAAACTGTTCTCAGGCCAAAGAAGCCATTAAAGAAGCAGAGAGATGTGATCCTGACAGCATTTTTACTCAGTTCAGCATTTTCAAGATTGCTGTTCTAGAGAGCAATTTAGCGGAAGGTATTCACTAAACATTAGCTGTGGGATGCGTGGACAGCAAAGAATTACTTTTTCATTGTTTAGTTTAATAACTTTTATGGGGTTGCTTGTTTGCATCAGCTGCAGAGGCAGTGAATGCAATGGGACTTCTGTCTAAGAGTCCGGTACCCAGCGAGGACAGACTCTTGGTTTCTGAGACTTCAGCCTCCTCTCTCCTCAGTCTGGCTGCTCAGATTGCTTTGCAGGTAAAATTAATCACAGCACTCATCACTCGTTTCATCATAAAAATGAAACCTGATAGAATATTTATCACATTTTTCCATCTTATGGTTTTATTTTAATAATTATAGCACCTCATCAGTGCTACTTACAGCTTAGGGAGACTTTTAGTTTAACACAAATGAAACGTATTTATGAGTAGGAAGGTGAAGGATCATGTCCTCGTCACTGATCTTATCTGGTTGGTGTCTCTTGAGCAGGAGGGGGTGTGAACTCGTAGACATTTAGTGAGGCAAGCATATTACAGTTTTAAGTAGCGATATCAATTGAAGCGTTATGGCCTGCTAACTTCTTCGGATCTTTACTATAAACTTGCTGGACAGTGACCAGAACAGGTATTTTTTTCTGTGATGTGTTTAGTTTTTTTTGTGCTGATGAGGATGTTTGTTTTCTTGTGACAGAACAGACAGCAGGACATTGCCATGAAAGCTCTGGAGGTTTTGTGTGAAAACTCCAACGATCCAGCTGAGGTTCTGATCGCTCTGAGGTTTGTGAAAACTCAAATGTGACTTGAGGAGTTCAGTATTTAGTTGTCAATGTCATTTTAATTTGTTGAGCATTTTAAAAGTCGACAAGTACCGTACCAACATGCTATGCAAAAAGAATAATGAAAATAAAAAAAAAACTTGGGCAGGTTATCGCAGAAAAAAAGTACAACAAAAATGATGAAATTAGCTTAATAAACTAAAAATATAAATTTAAAAACAAAAATAAATAATTAAATCAAGAGAGGCAAACCTTTAATAGCACCATGAAAGCTTCTAAAGGTGGTTTCTCTCTGGGCTGTGGCTGCTGGTGACTAATTTGCAAATGACATTCAAGAGGGAGTCACCGGTTGTTCTCTTGTACCTCACAAGTCACAGAGGCGCACAATCCTGTCGCTTGAATTTCAAACATGTTTGAAACATTTGTTGGATAAATTTTCTCTCCAAATAGTCTCAGAGTTGGTGTGGGTGTCCTGAATAGGCCTGTCGCAATAAACAATAAATCAATTAATCAATTAATCAGTCGCATGATAAATGAAAATTATCAACCTCATTTTCATTTATCAGTTTTATCATTTCTTCGTGTCTCTCTTTCTGAAGACACTGGATGACAAAAGGCTCAACTCCAGTGCTCTTCACTGACCCCTCTCTTTCTCTTTTCTTTTTAAAATCCATTTTAACCGTCCAAAATCACGTTTTTAGATCGTTAGCAGCTGAGAAGCTAAGCTACAAGCTAAGCTAACAGGCCTTCTGTCTCGTCGAAGCTCCAAAATTCAAGGTTGAAACTTGTGCCTTCATATAAAAAGTTGTTTTTCTCTGTAAAAAGAAGCTGAGAACTTGTTTACTGATTTTTATTAAAATCTTTGTGTGAAAAATATTATGCTTCAGCTCTTTAGAGCTCAAACCACACTGAGTGTCCACCAAATGAGAACCAAAAAAAAGGAAGGAGAGACAGCCCATGTCACGTCAAGTGGCCTCCCTCCCATTTTTCTTAAAGAGATCCGTCCTTCAGTTCAAACAGTTTTATATTGCCATCCGGTGGTCAAAAAATGGTACTACATACAAAACAAATTAACAAACATTTCTTCTTAAATTTGACAATAATTACTAATTGTCAAATTTCCAACTATTATTGTTTATCGCAATAATTTCTGAGACAATTAATCGCCCAGCACAATTTGTTATTGTGACAGGCCTAGTCCTGAACCCATCTCGAACCCATATCAGTTTAATTTCTATAAATTCTAGATCTGTATTTTGACACCTCCACAGGAGCTCTCCTCTGACAGAAAACATGCGAGACCACAGCCCTGAGTGTCCAGGTCTGAAAACTTTGTAGGTGATAAATAATAATGATTGAGAAGCTGATCCAAATCTGCTGATCTTTATTTCAAAAGTGTACTCCAACAGAACAAATCATTAACTTGAGGGAGGCTGCCAAGGAGGGTACGAAGCAAACTGAGTGGTGATCTCTCTCTTGAGGCTACAAGATCGAGCCCAGGCTGCATCAGGAAGGGCATCTGACGTAAAACAATTGCCAAATCTTTGATGTGAGTTTGCTCATGGCAACCCCTGATGCAGCAGCTAACAAAACTCAACAAGAACTGTATTTACAGGAAAATTCTTCCACAATTTAGGAGCAGTGATTGCAAAGGCACCATCACCTCAGCTTTTAGTTTTAGAACTTGGAACATCTAAAACTATCTGATCTATCTTACTCTCTGGCTTCCTTAGATAGATAACTTTTAGTAATTGGCGTTTATAATGTATGTGAATGTTTTTGTTCAGTGCCCTGAGATAACTTCTGGTGTGACTTGACACTATATAAATAAGCTGAATTGAACTGAATTGATAAGCAAGCTTCAAGTTTCAATATAAAGAACAAAGAAAGTCACATTTTCTTTTAACAGTCTTAAACTTTTAGTCAACAGAGACTTGTCTTTTCCATGACCATGTACAAAAAATTGCATTAAAGCTATATGAAACAGTTGATCTCAGATTTATGAAAATACTGTATTTGACATGAATTAAAACAAGAGCAGGGTGCAGAATAAACATGCTTAAACCAGAAAGGTGTAGACACTTGGATGTGATGAACACAGTGAAAAAACAACAAAGTCCATGCTCAATAATCCAGGTATACAATCCAACATTTTTCAGTCAGGTTATCTGGACAGTTTTTTTTTTTTGTGCTGAAACGTTTCGCCTTCGGTCCGGAAGGCTTCATCAGTCAAGGAAACACAACACTGATTCTTCCTCCAACAGCTTACTCCAAAGTGGAACAAACCAGTTATGTTGGTGCTAAGTTTGTCTCTTGTCACGCCCCCTCCTCCATTGCCGGCCCTCTTCCTTGTTGACAGTCATGTCAAACTGGTTGAAAACAACAAAGTCCATGCTCAGTAATCCAGGTATATAATCCACCATTTTTCAGTCAGGTCATCTGGTGTTGTGTGTTTCCTTGACTGATGAAGCCTTCCGGACCGAAGGCGAAACGTTTCAGCACAAAAAAAGAAACTGTCCAGATGACCTGACTGAAAAATGTTGGACAGTGAAAAAACATTTTGGATGCAGCAGCTGTAGTTTCCAGTCGAGGTTTGTTCATCTACATTGTCTAAGATGACAATTTTAGCCAATTATATTTTAGCTTCCTAATTTGTTTTCATGAAATTGATTAAATATTAAAATGATCATTTTGATGGAAACTGTGAATCTATGCAAAACAATATTTAGATAAACTATTTCAGTATTCATGTGTTAGTATAGTTCATGTTTTATAAAGCAGAGAAGTTATGCTTCACGTGTCCTGGAAACTGTAATGATTCTGTTAGTTTTTCATTCACCCCTTTGATCCACTGACCTATTTTCTCCTTCCTCACAGAAAGTAGGTCTATGTATAATAATGTTAGTAGGTGAGAGAAAAGAGGTCAACACCAGGCTCCTCTTTCATATTTTGTACAGGTGTTTGGTTCGTCTCACGCTCTCCACTTTAGACAAACCTGAAGAGATGAGGTGAGCTGAAAGGCCCAAAGATATGAAGTATTATTACTCAATGAAGGTTACGACTTACACTCAGTCTGTGCAGGGATGTGAATCTGGATGTCTTGCTGCCACATCTAAAAACAGGTGACTATATACGCAGTGAGCATATTTTCAACAAAAGGTTCAATGCACAGTGTCTGTTGTGAATCTGAGATTTTTTGTTTTCACTGCAGCTCTGCAGACAGTTTCATACCCGTCTAAAATGACTGCTGAGCAGCGCACAGAGGGGGCTAACTGGTTCAGAAAAATTGGTACGGACACTTTCTTTTCTTGCCATTTCAATCTATCATGGTAGGTGTCACCTAAAATCTTGCAGAGGCCTCATTTTGTGTGTGTCAGGGTGCTTTCTGTGTGTTTATTGCAGCTTGGAACTCAGCTCTACAGTGTGAGAGCAGCCCTGAGAGAATGAGGGATTTCTTTGTGCTGTCCTACCAAGTAAGTGTGCTGGCTCTGCCCTTTATCTGCTGTGCACGAGAGCAAACTGAACAGAATTAAATGTCTGTTTTGAAAATAAACAGTGAAATTGACCTTTTTCTGATCAGATATTTATTGGACTAAATGCAACCACATTTTTTAACTCGTTTGATCTTCATGTGACGTTGACAGAACTTGCATAATTAAGGATAAACCTTTTTAATCTACATGTCACAGTCACCTTTCTCAGATGTTCTTACATCAAGATAATGTACAAAAAGATAAAAGAGATGGATTTTAATAACAAAATCCAGAAATGTAAATAAAGCCAGGTTCAAAACTACATTTTGTTCACGTAAAAGGTGTTCACTGCAGGAGAAATGGATGTGTAGTTTTATTGCTCTGCAAATAAAATAAATGTATTTTGGTCATGGTCATGAAAATAAACTGTTCAACAAAATGTAAAATCCTTCAGAATAAAGATGAGAGACTCAAAAGACAAAAGCTTGGTCAAAAAGTGCTGCAGACAAATAATTTCAGATTATTACTTTGAGAATAAATTGATTTCATAAAATGGCCATAAAACACTGGAGGCAGCATGATGGCGCAACTGGTAGAGCTGCTGCCTCTCAGCGAGCAGGCAGCACTGGTTCAAATCCCGATCCGGGGTCCTATCTGGGTGGAGTTTGCATGTTCTCTTTGTGCATGCGTGGGTTTTCTCCGGGTGCTCCAGTTTCCTCCCACAGACCAAAAACATGCATGTTAGACTGATTGGTAACTAAATTGTCCCTAGGTGTCCCTTGTTTGTCTCTGTGTGTCCCTGTGATGGACTGGAGACCTGTCCAGGGTGTCCCCTGCCTCTCACACAGTGATGGCTGGACATGGGCACCAGTGACCCCCGCAACCCCAAAAGAAAGATGCGGGTAAAAGATAATGGATGGATGGATACTCACTGGAAATTATTTACAATAAAAAGAAGCAAATTAAAATTTAAAACTGTAGTCCTTACACAAAGATAATCATTTTAATGTTATGTTTGTTCTGATTTATTACCAGCAGTAAAAAACAAACAAACATCTAAAATGAATATTTTTTCTTTCATGTATTATCTCCTTTATAGAAGGTGCAATGAATGAAACATTGTCTGTAAGGATGAAGATGTTCACATCCTGGACAGAGAGGAACGATGGTTTGAGAGAGGAGTAAAGGAGGCCATCTTTGTGAAAAGAAATTGTCCATCATTAAACAGGGGTGGAGGCCTCCGGGTTCAACTGTCCCCCTCTTACAATGCTGTGATTGCTAGTATCACTCAGCCCTCTGTGAGTAGTAAACAGCCATCAGTGTGCTAATGACCCATTGTTAGGCTGATGGTCCTTCTTGAGCATGTGATCAGCTGGTTTTGGTTGTCAGCAGCAAACTGGTTGATCCACTCTGAGAAGGTGCTATTTAAGAGACTGAGCTGAAAACAGCACCTCAGACTGAGGAAGTCTCTTGGATGAGAGACGAAACGTTTCTAGATTTTTTTTTTGCTTTGCTTTGTTTTTTTGAATGTCCAGAGGACCAGATTGAACTTTTTTTGGATTGTCTGTAAGGTCTCACCTCCTGAGCACATGCATTTATACTTGAGAAAACACCCATAGAAGCTTTTGCATTTGGATTTTAAGTAGGTTTTTCAGAAAAACTTAAAGAGGTTCATTTTTATGCGAGTCAACAAATGTTGAATATTTTTTAATAACTACAAACCTTAAGATTTCAAAGTGCTGCCTTTTTTATTTGTTTAATTGTTGTTTGTTTGATGGAGTTAGAATTAAAACAAAGTTTTTGTTTTTCTGGTGGACCTCGTAGTTTTCCCTGCTGTGCCCTCCTGACCGCACACAGCTGCTGTGGCAGAAGACCTGCCTGGTGATGTCGGCTGCTGCCTCTTTGGAGCTCTACAGGAAGTCTCCTCACTCTGCACAGGTGTGCCACTCACTCTTCACCCTCTACATTTAGCACGCTCTCTATCGAAATGGATGGAAATTTACCAAGACCAGTGGAGAGGTGACTAACCGCATCACTGGTGCAGGCGTAGGCGTTCGGTTTTAATCCCTCTGCCTTTGAAGAGGAACTGAACACTAGATGGCGCCAGTAAATCCAGAATTCTTGTTGAACGTTTGGTTCACAGGCCGAGCTGCTCACTCAGGCTTTGGAGCACATTACCACCTGTTGGGAGGTCTGGAAAACCCTGAAAGCATCAGGTACAATAAACAGCAATAGTATTTAAGCTAAAAGAAAACTGACCCAGTATATATATTAATTTATATATGTGTGTGTGTGTGTATGTTCAAAGGAAACTTTCCAATGGACCCAACAGACTCACTGCTGCTGCTTTATGAATTTGAAGTTCGTGCTAAGCTAAATGATCCAAAGGTTGAGACGATGCTTGAGTCCATTCTGGAGGATGAACATGTTGAAACCAAAGTTTTGGAGTCCATGGCAGGTTGTTATGATTTCTGTTAACTTCAGACATGTCCATATTCATAAATATTACCAGTATTTATTGTGTACTCTTTTTTTATTTACCTAAATGTAGCCTTAGCCATGGACCCTCCTGCCCACTACCCTCTGCTGTGTAAGAAGGCTCTGAGAGCTGCGCTCTGTCTGAACAAAAAACAACCACAGACTGATGTGACCCACTGCAGGCATGAAGATTGTGTTTTTTAAACCAAGCTGCTGTTGGGATGAAGGTGTTTCTGATTTTATGGCTTGTTTTACGTGTCTCCACCATAGCAAGTATGTTCACAGTCTGATACAGCTGTCCCTTCCAAGTGGCGTGTCAGAAGTGGAGGCCCATGTGCTGGAAGAGATGTGGGATTACTTTGAGGAGGCCCTGTCCGTCATATCAGCTGCAGTGAGTCAGCACCAATCGCACATCGATATCCCTCAGCTCCCACCTCCTGTTCCCTCCAATAGAACTGCTCCTCTCTATATAATTAACCCCCTCTCCTCCTCTCCATGGCTGCCCGCTGTTCTAGAAGCATCTTTTATTTTATTTTTTATCAATGGGCTTTCAGCTGCAGTTCAATTAGCAGATGCTTCCATTCACCGCCCCTTCCTGCCAGTTTGAATGTTAATGTGCTGCTCAAATCATCACGCTGCCGGTGAGTTGCAGCTCTGAAAGACACTGAATTATTGAGGCATCACGCTGCTTTTGAGTCAGTGCATCTTTCCCCTTTCAGAGGGAGTTCATACTTGAAAGCTGTTTAAATTCTTTGGATCAAAGTAAAGGGACCAGATTAAAGTGTTGGGGAATCTGAATGAATTAAAAATTATTTGATTCATGTTTTTTCTGCATTAGTAAAAGTTAACACAAATGGCACAGGATCTGATGAAAAGCTGACTCGGTTTCTTGCTGCTTCATCACACTAAAGACAACTTTGTCAAGCGAGTCAGCCAGGTGGCCTCTGTTAAATGGCCTTTTGAACTTCTTCCTGCTTTTCTCTGCAGCCAGATGACTTCCCAGAGATGGAGACTCTGTGGCTGCTGACTCAGGCCTGGAACATAGGGATACTGTTGTACAGCTTGGCCCGGTACCAAGACGCTGAGAAGTGGTGTGGTCTTGCCATGAGTTTCATCCGTCACTCAGGAACGCTGAAGGAGAGCTACGAGACGAAGGTACAGCATCGATAAGAGGAGCAGGGAATAAATTAGCATAGCTGATATTGAATCACCTCGTTAGACAAAGCATTTGACCCAATAAAAACAAACGTCTGAGCAGAATTAGGAATATTAATTGATCATTCCAGGCTATTAGTGTTTAAAAATACAAGTGCTATGTGTTCATGCTCTTTTTACAACCCTGAAGCTGATCAGGACTGAATTAAAACAAGTTCATAGAGACTGTAAAGCTGTAAGTAATACAGCTGTTTGTGTCCACAGATGTCTGGTCTCTACAGTGAAATCCTGGACAGACTGGACAAAGCAAAACGTAACAATGTGGAAGACTGATCAGTCCCCACCTTCTTTTGTCTGTTCTGAGAATGTTCTTAAATGGATTAACTTGTTGCAGGCATTTGTTCCTAATGCTGAGTATACTAAACTACTTTGTAAATTGTATTTGTTCTTGTTAGTTTTGACAAGATGGTTAATAAACACAACTTGAATGGTTACATATAAATATCATTTCTGGATACATAAACTGACGTCTTTAATCGTGGTAATTTCTAAGCCTAAGCTGCTCAAACCAGACAAACAAGCACATCCAGATCATAACTGAGTCACATATTTTATTTTCAAACAAATAAACTCTTGTCAAGTCCCAAAATAAAACCCAAAGAAAAGCTGCAGGACTATGTTCCCTCATGACTAGGACAGGGAAGACCATGAGGCCGTGTCCTGATAGGCCGTACCACCTGCAGTGACAGGAAGGAAACTACTGTACAATCAAGGGTTCATGTTTGCAAGCACTTACTGCACAGATGTGCTAGAACAGAAACATCATCACCCAAAAGTACAAACAAGAACCCTGAAGACCCTCCCCACCCAGAAAATAAAAGCATATACTGTATGTCACCATTTCTCTCATCAGAACAAAGACCCTCATCAGTTATACAGAGGCATTCAGGTTCCATCCGATTACCTCAACTTCAATGGAAAGAGTAAAATGAAATCAAGTTCTTTGGGCTTTGACATGGCTGACTTGAGGTATGAGTACCACACACATCGTTAACAGTCAGCTGGGTTTCAACTAAACACCAGAGAGGACCAGTTCTAAACTTCTAATGATGTCTTGATCAATGCTCCTGGTTTCTGTGATGTCGTGTAGGTTTCTGCCTGCATCACTTTATTTTACAATATATATAATTTTAAATCTATACACCCAGACACGTTCCACAAGAAGTCACATGTAGACAGGCCCTACTTGGGGGAACTGGATTCCCATTTCACTAGTTAAGTGTTCCAATAGGCATTTGAAGAGAAATATCGACATTACAGCACGTTAGTATGGAAATTATATCTCAAGAGTAGCTCAAATTTTACTTACCTGACATTTGTGATCTATAAAACATGTTAGTCCCAGTTTGAGTCACACATGCATGAAGCACAGGTGAGGGGGGGTCTGCTGGGGGCTTATTTACATTGTTCAGCTACCACACCGTTTTGAAACAGTCTGCAAGCAGTTTATAAATGGCTCTGTTCCCTTCGGTTATTCCCTGAACTCTGGTTTTGACACAAGTAATGACAGCTGGTTTAGCAGTGATGCCTGGTGGGGGGAGGGGGCACACCTAATCTGAAAATGTCTGCAGGTACAGGTGATCTGTGGGCTTCAGAGAAAGAGAGAGCAAAAAGACCCAGCGGTCTGGATGTTGGCTCTCTAGAGGAAAACTTTTGTTGGCGCTCTTTAAAAAGCTGATTAGAAAACTAGAACGTTCATGGAGCCACAGTGCTCCTCCTCCAGATGTACCTCCAACATCCACACCTTCACAGTGCCAGGATCTGCATGGACTGTGCAGCAGGTCACTTCAAACTCTGAAATTTCTAAACTGACAGACTCGATGGAGCTTTGGGCCCCACAGAAAGGACGACCTAACGCCTGATTTCTCCTTTCAGCTGAAAACACTCGGCGCTTTCCTTGAATTCATGCTTTACCACGTTTGACACCTCTGAACTCTGTCACTGCCCAAACTTGAACTGTTACCAGATTGTTAAAATTCCTGGGCTGTTCTCGCAGCAGACTCACAAAAAGGACGACACAGTGGTTCAGCATCCGCCAACGAGTCAAAGAATTCATACGTTTATAGATACACAAAGAACGTTTACTCAAACCCAACTTTAGTTTTGCTTTTGGTAGGGGGACAATTCAAAACAGGGTTTACTGACTCTTTAATTGTGAAAACATCCAATACAATTTGTCGTCTTGTTCTACCCGTTTTAAGTTCACCACAGTGGTGGCAGATAGGACAGTACCATGTGACGAATCAGAAGAGAATCCTCTAGGAAGGCAGAGAGTGTAATAGGGTCGTCTGCTGCTCAACATGAATTAGGAGGCTCTGGCTGGCCAAATTGTAAAAAGCCAATTTTTTTCATTACCCAGGGGAAAAAAAAAAAAACATGTTAAAAACGGGGATGAGGGGGAAGAAAAGGCGCCCACCTAGACTTATTTCTTTAAAAATCTATTGCACTTAATGTCAGAGCTCCTGACAGTTGTAGGACGCAAAGGTAAGCGAGTCCTCATCAAATATTTGCAGCCTCCCTCACAGACAACAGGTAGTTACAAAACAGAATTTGTATTAGATGTAAGGCAGTTTGGTGTTTTGCAGAGAGCCCGGTTACACGTCTCTACCTCCATCCTTTACAGAGCAGCTAAAAACCACAAGCAAAAAATAAAAATAAAAATTTAAATAAAAAAATTAAATCCCACAAATAAGAAAAGGAAAACGAAATCTAACAGCCCTCCAAATTGACAATTCTAGATAGATGTAAAATGTGTAGATTTAATATGATGTAAAATCTCAGAATGATTTAATGATTTGTGATTTGGTAATATAAATGTAGATTCACAACACGTTTCTTCTTCTCGATCTGCCTCCCAAGACGTCTCATCAGCTGCAGCGCAGACAACCAAACAGCGAGCTGGTTTGTGATAAATACATCACCAGTTTGTTTGTTGGTAATTTCCTCAGTCAGCATAAAGAAGCGTGACGACTCCTTGAACAGTACCATCAGCAGGGCTCAAGTCTTTGAAACAAAACAAACTAAAAACAAAAGCTGTAATTGTTCAACCTCTCGTCTCGTTTGTCCTTTTAAAAGTGATTTGATGAACATTTACAAAGTGTCCCAACTTGGTCCGATTTGTCTCTATTCCCCTGCAACTTGTTTTTGAATCACAACTTCTCTCACGCTTGACTTTCCGCACAACATTCTGATCTTCAGGCAGTCCCAGTTCACAAAAGGATTTATTCTGTTTCCCTTTTGTTTTCCATTGACAAATTCCTTTGGAATGACAATTCCAGTCTTGAATGGATTTGTGGAGAAATCATGCAGGGGTGTGCACAGTCACAGTAATGGTGATAAGACTTCTTTTCATTTAGAGAGTAACATAATGATGACACTAAAACTTGATATGAAACATATCTGTAAAAAGGAGGTGGGGGAAGGGGTTCTTGTGGGCGTGGTGTCTGGGAGGCAGGAGGGGAGCTCTGCATGGACACAGGACGGCAGGGAGCTCAGAGCTTCTCTGGGGAGGGGATCCAAATGTAGGGCCCGGACTGCTCCTCGATGATCAACTTGATTTTGTTGTAGATCTCCTCTAGCGAGTCACCCTGTACAATAGCTGGAGACAAACACAGATTTGTTAGCTGCAGCAGAAGTGCATCATAGATGATACATTTAACAAGTTGTCTCACTTCTGCTCTGTTGTATTTCAGGTGGAATACTTTTAGATTTAGACTTCTATAAAACAACAACTTCATGAAGTCTTCACAGGTTGGTGTTTTCACCAAGTTGTTTAGCCCCGTCGTTAGCATCTTAATAAACTGTTGCACACATTTGGTTTGAGCTTTGACTGTCGGCAGAGGAGCTGATCATTTTGCTGGTTTTTCCCCAACACTGCTGTCAACAACCCTGACTTTGACAAGACAGTGTTTTATTTATCTCTGGGATTCAATAAAATTCTTGTTGCAAAGATTTTAATCACACTTACTTATCTATGAATTAAAATTGAAAGAAAAAAAAATATTTGTGTCATTACAGAGCTCAAACTCTAGTTTCCAAAGACTTAAACTGAGAAGTGACGCCCTCAACAACTTTGATTAATGATAAGTTCACACGCAGGTCCAGTTGTCTTTGTGCGGTCGTTCATATTATTTAAACGCAACAGTCAACAGACTCCAGAACAGTCTATGCGCACCCCCAATGGGACCCCCGTGGGCCGAAGATGGAACTTCACATTAGGGCTGCAACAACAAATCGATAAAAATCGATGATTAAAAGCGTTGGCAACAAATTTCATTATCGATTCGTTGTGTCGCGCGATTATGCGTCTTTCACGGCGCTGTGGAGACGATTTGTTCACCTGCAGTTTATTGTCAATGCTGACTGACTGAATAAAGTTTGAAAAAAAAAAACTCTGCAGCGCGAGTTGAACAGAGCGAGGGGGGAGGTAGAAGCAGAGCAGAGGCTGTTTTTTTCAAAGGAAATTAAGTCAATTTTACAAATGACCAACGCAGCGAAAACTGTTCGACCCAAGTCCTCCAAAGTGTGGGAGAACTTCACAAAGATAAAAACTGAGAAACGTGTCGCTTTGAAAATTGACGACACGGGAGAACCTCGAAGATGAAACGTAAACATGTCAGAGTCACGAGGAGGAGGAAGGACTCCTTCAAGGAGCATCAGCAGATACATGTTTCACTCCCAACTCGTGTTGCAGGTGAGTCTCTACAATATTCACATTGTTCTGGTTCCAAGTGAGAAAACGTAACGTCAGTCTCTGTAGCTGAAGCTGCTTGTTATCTGATTAATGACGGTGATAGAGAACGTGTGTGTTACTTTTTATTTAGTTTAATTGGTACAAGCAGTGTTTAAATGTGATTTATTAATAAATCTAACACAAGATAATAATGTAATGATTAAGCTTCAACTTTTAATTTGTTGGCAAAGTCTGAAGACACTGCAGGTATGGCAGGATGAATTGCATTTAAACAGGAATTAAAGTAATTTATTGCATCTACTCAAATGTGTGTAATTAAGTATTTTATATATGTGTGTGTTTGTGTTTAATTGCTCTTTTAGCACTTTTGCCTGAACCTACCACTGCAAGTGAAACAAGGCATTTCTTGAGTTGCTGTAAATTATGCTATAATACATATTTACTCTCTCATTCCAGAAAACAACAACAATGACAGCTTCATGATGGACAGACATCATGGACACCACAGCAGCAGCTGTCTTCACTGAAACATCCTTAAATGATCATCGCTGACACGAGGCCTCTGTCGATGGTTGAAGACGAAGGCTTCACTACAATGATCCACACTTTTAATCCAGGTTACAATAATCCACACTTTTAATCCAGGTTACACTCTTCCCTCAAGAACACATTTTACAAAGTAGCTACATATTGTGCAGGTATAAAGATACATTTGTGTATATTTGTGTACATTTATTTTTTTTAAGCTATTTGACTAACTTATTTTTTATTATTCATATTTTACTAACAGAATAGTCAAATAGCAACCTGTTTTTTGTGTGAATTGCTATGTCAGTCAAATGTTCAATTTTGGAATAAAGGGGTGGAAATTAAAACTGTTTTATTTTGCAGAGTCATCGATTAATCGAAAAAATAATCGGTCGATGAATTGATTATTGAAATTATCGTTAGTTGCAGCCCTACTTCACATGCAGCACTTTACTGTTATAAAAGTAAATACTGATGCTACGTGTTAGCATGCTGTAGTTGTGCAACGGGGGCTGATGAAATGATCTGACATGCTTGTTGTGTCCAATATTCACATTTGATCTTTCTGCTTCCTGCCTACTCTGGTGCAGAACGGCAGCAACGTACTGAAGGTAGAAACAAACTCAAGCACTCATCCCATTATGTTAATATCGATACGATCCAACACCAACATTAGTATCATATGTTGATACAGAGCCTTAGTCATTCATAGGAAAAAAAAAAAGGACAAAGCAACTGGACTTTTGTTCTGTAGCTGAAGACGTGCAGATAAATGTAGCCTATTTTGCGAGAAAACATCACAAATCTTCTGAACACGTTCAAAATTCAATTACAGCACAGTGGAACTACCGTTAGACCTGCAAGCTGCCATCAAACATGTACGCTGTTAAAACAGAGACGCCATGTTTAATGCGAATGGGATTTAAAAAAAAAACCCACCTGAAATCTCTAAATAAATGAAAAATAACGATCAGTAATCAAAGACATAAGAAAGATGCCAACCTGTGAAATACTCTCCGAAGTCTTGCTCCAGCTTAACCGCCTTGTCAAAGACTTTCGAGGCCTGTTCGTACGTCTGCCTCTTGTTCATTTCCCTGAAAACGACAGTGTCCAACGTTACAAACACCCAGAGCTGCAGATGGATGCATTGCTACACAAATCAGGACATTCTCTTACATTAGAGCTTCAACAGATTTTGGTTTTATAAAGATGGCGATCGGATAAAGTTGTGCTTGCTGCAGTCGTTTTATGGCATTCCCAGAAACATCCAGAATGCAGTGCTTCCCCTGTTGGCACAGACGCAAGTCTTATTACTGACATGTCTCACGCTACTGCATCACATATTTAAGACAACAATTGTGTTTCTGATGCCTCTACATGATCACTTTTTAGAAAACTGATGAGAAAACATATCGTTTTGTTTCAGCAGATCAGCTGAAGGAACTCTGGCTGCTTTCCCACCAGTGAGTCGATACGTACCCGCTCAGCCACTGTTCTGACAGACAAAATGCTCGTCCCGTAGAGGTTCTCGTTAAACTGGCCAGCCTCAATGAATTTATTATCCTGAATGTCTTTCTCCATTTGCTCTCTTGAAGCCACAAAGTGGTAGTCCTGGCCATCAATCTCATTCTCTCGCCTTGGACGGGTCGTATCTGCAGAGGGTAAATGGAACACGTTTATTTTTGTCTCAGCTCTTGTTTAGTCTGCTGTGTAGATGTGTTGAGCGGAAACTCACGGGGTACACATGAGCCAAATTTGTGGGGAAACTCGGAGATGAGGTCATCATTTACTCTGTCCTTCATTGGGCCCAAAATGATCACAGGCCTTGTGTAGTGGACTAGAATGGAAACGAACGATAAAAGCAAAAAATAAATAAAAAACACATGAAACATTATGATGGTGATAATAAAAGTTGTAAACAAAGTGAGCGGACTCACTTTCTTGTCGAATGACTGGCTCGTAGGAGAGGATTGTGTCCTCCTGACCCTCTGTAAGGATGAAACAAAAACCATCACATCGTTTACATATTTGGAGAAAAAAAAAAAGATTTAAAACATGTATCCTCCTGAAAATGCATGAAATATTAAATTATATTTTATTTCACAAACATGGGGTTCTTTCACCTTTCCCATTTTACAAATATTTTCCTAAATCAAATTATTAGTTTTTAATTTAACTTTAGGTCATTTTTGACACCCAAGAACAAACGTTTACAGTTTATGTACAGTAGACTGTACACAAAAGATACAAATAGGTCGGAAGCTATGACGGAGCTTTTGGGTCGCGCTAAGGGAAAAAATAAAAAATAAATAAAAAGCCATAAAATTACCAGAAAAGTCTTACGTTGTTTCTTTTTTTTTTTTTTTTTTACAGCTCTCGTTAATTTTTCCCCCCACGAGGCGGATCTATGACACGACCTGTCAATCAATCCAGTAGGCGTGTCAGCAAATGACCAATCCAAAGCTAAATAAGTGAGTCGCTGGGTCTCTTCAGCCTCTTTCTGGCATTTTTATTGAAGACCTCTGACAGCACCGCACGCACACAGTTTCTCTCACTGAGCGTCGTTTTCAAATGGAAACAAAAATGAAAGTCATGATGTAATGACGTCATGTATGTGCATCCCAGAAGCAGCGTACAAAAACACAGGTGGCAGAACTGGAACACGTTTTGAGTAAGAGCATCAATAACTATAAAGTTTAACAAACATTCTTCATTTTACCAGTTAAAATGCAGTAAACTCTGCTTTATGGTGTCGAAGTTCAGATTATTACGACTCATTTAGCTTCGGACTGGTCATTTGCTGACACGCCTACTGGATTGATTGACAGGTCGCGTCGTGGATCTGACTTGTGGGAAAAAAAACTTAACGACAGCTGCCAAAAATTAAAAAAAAGACTCACGACTTTATTCTCATAATATCAAGACTTTATTCGACATTTTTCTCGAAATACTACGACTTTATTCTCGTAACTTTATGGCTTTTATTTTTTTTAGTGTGGCCCTGAAGCTCCGTTGTAAGAAGCAGCAAATGATGCTTGTTAAAATTAAATGTCCATGGCTTTTAATGACTAATGATCATAAATACGTACATGGTTTTAGTGGATTTGACAGTAATAACCCTGCAATATTAAAAAAAATGATTGATATAAATAAATACATTTGAGTGACTCACTTGAACTACTTTCACTGTCACTCGTGTTGGATGTCAGGCATTCTGTAAAGGAAAAGGGGGAACATCAGATCAATAAAAGCCACTTATAAATAAAACCATTTTCACCTGGCTGAAAAGTCACAAAGAAAAAAATTACTCAAAAATCAACAACAGGGTCTAAAAAGGGGAATAAAGAAAGCAGAAGTTTTGTCTGGCGCGGCAGACGAGTTTTTGCAATTTTAAAGGAAGTGGTTTTAGGTGCAAGTAATAGGAAATTAAGTGTTTCCTGTAATATCCCAAATGACCCAGAATTCCCTGGCCAAATGTTTCCTATTGATGGATCTGTGCCTATGGCAGCAGATCTGGTATCAGAGAAAACATTCAGGTGTTACAGTGTTCACAGGAGGGGGGCAGGAGCTGGCTGAGGGGGGGGGAAGTGCAGTAAGAAGTGTTTCCAATCAGACAGCAACTCTGCTTGTGCAACAGAAGTATCATAACTCGGTGTGACCTTATAAGATGAAAGTCTACCAAACAGATTTTCATGAAGACCCCAGGAGACGGTGGAGATAAGTGTCACCCTCGCTCCCCCCTCCCACATAAATGTATTGTGACTCTGAGGTAGATGTGTGAGAACGCACGTAGGTCTTAGCGCGTCGCTCTAAATGTGTGTGGTTTTCGCATTCCCAGCTGGGCCTGCAGTGACAAAGCATAATCTCCGGGGACAGCTGCTTGACACAGTACAACCACACACTTACTCGAACTCTTTGATCCATAAAAGTCATCGCTTAACCCTGGGAAGTCCTAGGTGTCCCGACAGGTGAGAGCAGAAACCAAGAGAAGAAAGCAGACAGGAAGAAGAAGAGGTTAGTGAGAGTTGGGAAGGAGTAGAAGAGGAGTGCACCCGCTGCCATACGGTGCTGTCATACTCATTAAGCCTGAGCTCCTTTTTGTTCATAGTAAGCCACTGCCTTTCAATTACACGAGCCCAATCCCATTAAAATGGGATTTGACCCGTTAAGTGTTCAAGCTTCAGCCCAGTAACAAGATTCTTCTTGCTGGAGGTCAGTGACTGACTGGAGGATTGATCAGGACAAGGCCTTTGTGTTAATGCAGCCAAAAACATGCAAACACAGCTGGCAGCACAGCTGGACACTCCTCTGGAGCCCACAGACGATGCACAGTCACCCCCCAGAGAGGAACCCCACATGTGGGGAATCTCTCTGGCATGGGGAGAAAGGGATGAGGGCGGTGCCATCACACAAACCATCCCTAGAGGTGAGTGGGAAGATGAAAGATGAAAGACAGAAAGCATGACGGAGATAGGACTAACCTCCCCCCCCAACAAAAAAACACCCAGCACCCCCCCTTGATCGCACAGCTGGTACTCACGTTCAGAATCCACCATCTCCTGCACAATATTCTCCTTGCTCTTGTAAAACGGGAACTTGCGTGAGAGGTTGAAGCTTTTTTTGCGCTTTACTTTGACTGTCTGCTTGTTGACGTGTGGGTGAGAGGGGGGGGAGGGATGGGGGAGGCAATGAGAGGGTGAAAACAAAAAAATACTAGGTTTCAATGAAGATAACTCAACAACCATGCAAAAGAAAAACAAAACAAGAAAAACCAATGAAATGTAAACAAACACTACACACCAAATAATGAAAATGAGAAGCAGGAAATGGGTGAAACTGAATGGAACATCAATGTGAAGGAAACATCTCGATCACGTTAAACATGTACCTTTTCAACAAATACAACGTCCTGAGTAACAAATACAGACTTGTCATAACTGAAATTAATGTGAGAATCACAGACCAGCCTCTGACCAACAAGAAGACAGTTTTAATTAAGATGCACTTTCTGAGTGCACATGCCACAGAGGTTCCAAAGACCTCATGTATACGGAGCGCTCCTGTAATCTGCACAGTAAAACTGCGTGCTTGCTTCAGTGAGCAGGTGCTGGTCTCTTTCCCACACTCAGGAGGAAGTAGGCCATCTCCCCGGGAGCCCTGCAGCAGCTCTGAAGACCACTGCTCGAGCCGAGCACCGGGACAGGGAGCAGCTGGCCCTCGACACTTACCCTGTTAGACTCAATCATGCCTGTCCTGGCGTGGAACTTGACAGTTTTTAATCTGGCTCGCTCTTTCTTTTCCACTCTAGAAAACAAAAACAATTGATTTACATTTTGGAAGTCATCCCTTGGATCGCTTTGGAAACGACTCGACACAAAGAGCGACGGTACCTTTTCTTGCTGGGAATGACCCCAATCTGCTCGCTCTCTCCATGAGGTGTGACGAGCCTCGCCTGCCACCACTCGTCATCAGAAGCATTTATGACATGAAGGATATCCCCGTAAGTGAAACTCAGTCCTTGGCTGGGCAGGCAGCTGTCTCTTGTTCGGTCGTACTCAAACAGAGCTCTACAAAAAACAAACACTTATTGCTGTATCCTTTATCTTGAATTTCAGTGTAAAAATGTTCACGTACGCCAAGATGAAATTATTATACCCTGTGCCTGGGCATGTCGAGATAAACAATAAATCAATTAATCGCATGATAAATGAAAATTATCAACCTCATTTTTATTTATTGGCTTTATTGTTTCTTCGTGTCTCTCTCTTTCTATTGAAGACACTGAGCAAAAAAACAAAAGGCTCAGCTCTGATGCTCTTCACTGACTCCTCCTTTTCTCTTTTAAATCTGTTTTAACTGTCCAAAATCACATTTGTGGATTGTTAAATGCAGCTAAGCTACAAGCTAAGCCAACAGGCCGACCTCAGGAAAAAACCTCCGTCTTGTCAAAGCTCCAAAATTCATGGTTGAAACTCGTGCCTTCATCTAAAAAGTTGTTTTTCTTTGCAAAAAGAAGCTGAGAACTTGTTTATTGATTTGCTTTAATTAAAAGCTTTGTGTGACAAATGCTCTGCTAAAAAGCTCAAACCACACCGAGCGTCCGCCATTTTGAGAACCGAAAAAAGAAAGAGAGACAACCCATGTCACGTCAAGGGGCCTCCCCCCATTTTTCTTACAGACTCGCTGCTTGCTCCCTCACTATCCATCCTTCAGTTCAATCACTCTTATAATGCCATCCAGTAGTCAAAAAAGGTACTACATACAAAATTAACCAACATTTCTTCTTAAATTTGACAATAATGACTAATTATTGTCAAATTTCAAACAATATTATCATTTATCATAATAATTTCTAAGACAATTAATGGCCCAGCATTTTTTTTATCATGACAGGCCTACCTGTGCCCAAAGTTAACAAAACAAATTTGAATTTATGAATTTCAGTATTATGTAATGTGTTAGTTAGCGGTTTAATAAATGCTCTTTGTGGTTAACTGTAGAATTTAACTAATAATTAAAAAGGTTTCTTGATGCGTATTCAAACAGCAGGCGACAACACCTCATTCATAACTTTCTATTTGTCACTTCCTTCAACTATTTCCACTACAAATATGCACTTCTTATTGTCTGAGTGTGTCACTATCTTGTTGGACAAGTAAAGCAGCAGTCATTTTAAAAGGTACCTGCTTTACAGGTTTTAGATTATCCTTGACCCACAAGCCAACACCTACAGGCCATAAAACAGTTCCAGGTTGTAGCCAACAGGCATTCTTTTCCTCTGTTGTGAGATTTTAGCTGATGTACTCCTAACTGCAATGGCAGCAGACAAGACAAATAAAACCAGTGAAACCACCATGGTGCAATCGAGAGAAACTTGTCAGTCTGTGTCATCACCAGGGAAACAGGACAACTGTCAACACACGCCGACAAGGGATAATCAAATTCCCTGTGTTATAGCCGTGTTGTAGAACCTTGACATTCTTGTGTTACACAGAGAGCAAGGACACACGTGACCGTTGTAAAAATGCACCTTACAAGCTGAACGCCTCCACATCCTGAGGCTGGGCAGGGAGGATACGACAGCTCCCGCATCGGTCTGCAAACTCTGCAGCTTTTCCTACATAACTGTGGGCTTAGTCACCTGCACGGGAGCAGGAATGTCTCTACGAGCCTCACAGGAGACAGTCTATAAGAGGCATGCGTCAGGCTGATCAGCAGGCCTCTGACTCCAACAGGCTTCAAATAAGGCAACTCCTATATATTTTTCAAACACTGCTACACTACTCAATCAATCTAGAAATGTAGCTTTTAAGCTGAGGTGGAGTGTATTAAGAGATTCAGCAGAAATACATGGAAGCACTTTGCGTATGGAGGTTACATCATGTAATCCTTTCACCTTGAACCTTGTGCAGCACCCTTTATATCTTGCTGTATTTATGTGAGCCACCTGTTTTCATTTCTAAATGAAACTCGGTCCAGTTTGGCGAGTGGCCCAAAATGTCATAACACAAGTCACCTCGACAAGCCTTTTTGTCAATCTACATTAAGCAGAGGCAATGTCATGCAAGGCGGCAAAACAACGGGACGTAACGTCTGTCAGCTTTTAGATGATGAAAGGTATCGACCCAATGGTCTACATCGAATGTAATCTTACAAACAGTTCTGCATAAAATATGTTCAACCACACGATCTGCACCATGTGTGGCTGCTTTGAAAAACACGTGCTTTCAGGCCTCTTTCTCCCACACAAAAAGGCTGAGGTTCGTTACGCAAGAGTGCTTATTTTAACAGATCTAAAAATTTGGAGCAGTGAGTGCAGCTGTGCGTGTCGGTCCGTGCACGCCAGGCGTACCTGACATAGAGGGAGCGCTTCTCGCTGGTGCGCAGGGAGCCCGATCCTGAGCTCATGCTGCTGTTCATCATCTGCTCCCTCAGGTCGTGGATCTTTGACTCAAAGCGACTGTACTCTGTGTTGGAAGAGAGAAAGAAAATGTGTCAAATCACATAAAAAATGGGGTTTTGAGCACACACACCGCCCCTTACATAAAGTAGTATTTAGTATAGAATTGTTTGTCTCTGTTCTAATTTTACACACACAAAAAAATGTATATATTTTTTTGCGTTCAGAGCTTTGTTTAGCTCAGCAGAGTGAGCAGGAGTAGAAAAAGGTTCAGTAAATCCTTAAGCTGATTAACGACCCCCAGGTACAGATGGTTTATCACAGATCTGCCTTACACATTCAGTAATGTCTCCTGTCAGGTAATTAATTACACAGATTAATTAAGTTCAACATGGGCTCTTTAGTGTGGCTTAAAAAACAAAGGCCTCCAACAAGTTCAACTGCACAACCATTTGTCATAGGTGTGTAAATCCAGTTGCAGCTCGGCAGCACAGCGATGATGTATGAATCCAGCGGGACCTGCTCATTAAGACTGCTCTCATTAGCCTGCTGAGCACAGCATGCTCTGTGCCCAGGCTGCTGGAACACGCAAGGCCACCGCACCGCAGCATACGGCTGGGTAAACAAACGGGCAGAGGCTGACAGAAAAACAAGTCGCTCCAGTACTCAGATGATCAGAGGACGCGATAGAGCAACTGACTGCCTTTAACATTTGCCCACTGTACAATGCTGCTGAAAGTGTGTTTCCTATAGCACAGCTGGCACACTCAGGAATTTAGCTGCATAAAACAAATAATTATCACAATATTGCTATAATAATTTGAACATCTCAATTAACATTATTCTGTTCTCAAAAAAGCACAACAAATTATCCAGATTTGCTCTTTATAGTCAACTTCTACATCTGTAGAGGCTGATCCACACCTTACTGCTTAACCACTGAACGCTGGAAGCACTTCCTGTAGCGTAAACAACAAGAGATCAAAGTCCATATTTGTATCAGACAGGCAACCTTAGTAACACAAACATGTCTTCTAAGATGTTTAAGCTCCTGGAGTCCAAGCTCATGGAAAATACTGAGCAGGTGCAAAAACAGGTTTTCAATCACTCCCTGCTGAAACCTACTGGGAATCCAAAGTAAACACAGAACCAGTGTGTTAGCTGTCTGCTCAAAGGGTTAACTATACAAGAGAGTGACGCTGCAAGGTGAGGTAACCAGACACGGCCTGACTGGCTGTAACCATGAGCAACAATCCAGCACTCCTTGAACAGGGAGAGCCTACGAGGAAACAGCCATTCAGACGACTCCTCCTGGCTTTCAGGCACAGGAGACGAGAGAGGCGCAGTAGAAAAGCAGCTGCTTGTGAGAGGATGGACTGCTGAACAGGACAAAGAGCAGCTAAATACAGAGAGTCTTCTTTAATGGCTGCTTCACAATAACACTAACCTGAAGGGCTGCCTGCTCAGTGGAACAGAGCCATCAGCTGTGCAGGTGGCATTATTGCATATTAACATCCGAACGCCCAAATAACAACTACGTAGTGGAAACTCAGAAGGTGCAGAAAGAAGATGACAGCTACAGGATTCTGTAGAAAGTTGGGGGTGGGAATCATAAGATAACTAAACTGCTACCACACCTTTTTGATAATGGTGACATCAAACTACATTACACCGTGTGCAGCACTTCACAATATCGTACACAAGTAGAAAAACAGTCACTAATAAAAAGAATGCCTGTTACACTGAAAACGGATACTCCCAATGTTCAAATAGGTTTGTCCAAGAATCAAAGTCAAAACAATGTACTGAAACATAAGCTCTGTTGACAGGTTCACTCTCTTCCAACAGGAAGCACGTTTACATATAATAATGTAAACACCACATTTTTGAAAAGTGTGTGCAGCGTGGAAAATTATACAAAAATAAATGAACTACAACAGCAAAATCCAGGCTTCTATCATTTACAAATACAGCCAGATGCTGGTTATTTTAACCTGATGGAACTGATTCAAGAGGAAATGTTACACTTATAGAAAATATACATGTTTATACATTTATAATGGCTGAAGAGATTGCCTTCTAAATAGACTGAAATTAATATTTCTGGGATTGAGCTGTTCAAAGTGGAAAAACAAAACAAGAAAACCCTCAATAATTAAGTATTTAAGAAAATCATGACCATCCACTAAAGAAAATTTCAAGACTTTGTAACTGATTTTACATTTTAAGCTACTTTTATCAGCTAAAACCACCGACTGCATCATCATCATCACCATGGATGGGGAAGTGTGTTGTCTCATTAAGCTTGAGCTCTTGACTGAAATTCAACTTTATTTGTCAGGAACGACACAAAAAATGACTAACGATCACAAAAACACACTGAGGTGAAAACTACAGGCATTCTTGATAAAAACGTTGGCACTCATTCCTGTTAACTGGACTTTATAGTTCATACACAGTAAGGGGCACTTTAAGCATTTCATTTTCTTTAAGGTATATAACTAATCAAAAGCATTTTATAATCATTATGAATGTATGAGTTTGAAACTATTTACACGTCTAAAATAAAACTGTGCAAACCGCAGTTCAGACTCTCAAACACCAAACAGTCAAATGACCACCAGATGAGAAGACATTCTTAATAATTAGTTTTACTGGTGCATAGTTTTAATAATAAACTACAACACAAATGTGACAAATTCCTTTATGATTAAAACACAATCTTTAACAGAATGACAAAGGCAAGGATTTAATGTTTTGCATGTCTGAAAAATTATTCAGAGGAAATATAAGACAGCCACTCTCACAAATACTCTGGATGTCATTTTATGGGTCAAATCTAATTTGATAGTAATCCAGATTTTTTATATATACCGCACAACATTCTCAAACTTCCAACATTATTCAGTCAGGTCATCTGGACAGTTTTTTTTTTGTGTGTGCTGAAACATTTCGCCGGGCAGCACGGTGGCGCAACTGGTAGAGATGCTGCCACTCAGCGAGCAGGTCCTTGGTTCAAACCCCGGTCCAGGGGCCTTTCTGGGTGGAGTTTGCATGTTCTCTCTGTGCATGCGTGGGTTTTCTCCGGGTGCTCCGGTTTCCTCCCACAGACCAAAAACATGCATGTTAGGCTGATTGGCAACTCTAAATTGTCCCTAGGTGTGAGTGAGAGAGCAAATGGTTGTTTGTCTCGTTTGTCTCTATGTGTCCCTGCGATGGACTTGCGACCCGTCCAGGGTGTACCCCGCCCCTCGCACAGTGATTGCTGGACATGGGCACCAGCGACCCCCGTGACCCAAAATGGAACAAACGGGTAAAGATAATGGATGGATGGATGAAGCATTTCGCCTATGATCCGGATGGCTTCATCAGTCAAGAAAACACACAACACAAAACTGATTATTCCCCCAACAGCTTACTCCAAAGTGGAACAAACCAGTTATGTTGGTGCTAAGATGGTCTCTTTGTCACGCCCCCTCCTACATTGCCGGCCCTCTTCCTTGTTGACAGTCGTGTCAAACTGGTTGAAAACAACAAAGTCCATGCTCAATAATCCAGGTATACAATCCAACATTTTTCAGTCAGGTCATCTGGACAGTTTATTTTTTTGTGCTGAAACGTTTCACCTTACACACAAAGCACGACCTGACTGAAAAATGTTGGATTGTATACCTGGATTACTGAGCATGGACTTTGTTATTCTCAAACTTAATTTTAACACCACTGAAATTTCATGATAAGCTAAATTATTTAACAACAAATGTCAAAAATATACAATATATAAACTATGAAAGTGTTTGACTTATAAAATTCCACCCATCTATTGGCTTTCGTTTATTTGTGTTTGGATTGTGATGCCAACGAGTTCAGGGGGGCAATCCAGGCATCCCTCTTCCTATCGACACTCCCTGGCCAGAAAGGATAAATAAACCATCCAGTGAATTTTGGATCTGCCCTGGGTGAAGGTTCGAGTATAGATGAGCCAGTAAATCCAGATCTTTGCTTTCCAGCTCAGCTCTGTCTTCACTGCAACAGACCGCAGCTACATCCTCATTACTGCAGATGAGACCCCATCTCTTGCTCCATCCCGTCATCACTCGTAACCAAGACTCTCAGAAAATTAAAATCCTTCACTCAAGGCAAAGACTCGCATCTGACCAGGAAGGAGCACTCCACCCTTTCCTGGTTCAGAACCGCTGCCTCAGTCTTTAGAGGAGGCGACTCATCCCAGCCGCTTCACACTCAGCTGTGAACCCCTCCATAAAATTATTAATATCAAATATTGTACCACAACTCAATGTTTTTTCATACTCTCACTTGGACAGTCATTTCACAAATGACTAATCAAGCTGAAAAAGTAAAGCTCTGCCATTTGTACTGGACACAGATCCTGTACTAAAACAGTGCCATCTTCAAAAATTTATATTAAAACAGAAACAGACTCAAATGTTCCTAAGAACAGCTACATGCATCTGATTAGGAACAACTCATAATGTAGGACATGATGACGAACAAGGTCCTGACTGGTCCAGCTCTTACGGATGATCAATCCCACATAAACGACTCATTAAACAAGCACACCTTTGAAGTGCTGCAAAAGTGGTTGTCTTCAATTATGATGGTAAAATCCAGGTTCTTTAAATCAATTAATACTCCAGAGGGAGCTTGTATTTTTAGGGGTGAGCCACAGGAATAAAATACAGCTAATAGAAACTGGGACTATTCTGTGTCATACTCCCACTGTGTGTCCTCATTAAGTTGCACAATGATTTTTTTTATTTTATTTTGGGGTACCATGGCTTTTCTTTTGATCCAGTTATGCAACAAGCTGAGCATGTGCTTGTAACGTGAGAAAGTGCTATATTCTCAGGGAGAGTCAAGCAAGTGAACGCAAACACCACGTCTTGGATAATAGTTCATGAAGTCAGTGCATGCAGAACTTGTCGAAAATGTTCCTAGGCCTCAAAGGCCCACTGTTGTTAGGTTTAATGAGGGTGCATGCAGTGTAACATTTCCTCTAAACCCCTCCTTTCATTTCCTACATGCAAAGACTTAAGTCCAATTACA